TGTATCCAATAATTAAAAGACAATTAGCGGTTGCACACATGAGGCACAGGTCGATAAATCAACGAAGAGGTCGAGTCCTGCCCTTCTTTAGAATCCGGAGCTTATTGTAAGCCTTCTTCCCTTCTTTCACAGAGCTAGCAGATAAGTTTTCTTTACTCGAGGAGCATCAAAGCGAGCCCTCCTCGTGTGTTTTTTTTTGTGCTCAGAGTATGTCAAACAAAAATCTCAACCTGTAATTATATGAATTTATGCGAAAGGCTTCCATTTTATTTCCATTTTGCATATATTTTATATTATAAAAGAAGCATGCTCCTTTTAATAATCATGTACTAATTTTATTATTATTATTATTATTATGTTTTTTTTTATTATTAATAATTCATATTTAATCTTTCATTATAATATATTTAAGAAACTCTGAATAAACTTTGCGTAAATAAATAAAATAATCTATATAGTAATTTAATTAGTCGCAGTTACTTAATTATTTATTATTAACTATAGTGTATTGATACAGTTCTTGTTCAGTAAGAAATGAAAAAGTTTACTTTTCATTTCATTCAAATTTTCCTTTTCATTGGGAATTTCAGATTTATCTTTGAAACACCAGACTACAGCAGGTGCAGCCTGGAGGCTCACGTGGGCGTATTTCTCAGGGTTGTTTCGATTCGCCACATGTGTAAAAACCAGTATATATATTATGTAAAGAAATACACTGAAAAAAAAAATGGTATTGAATCAAGAAAATTTTACTTATTTCAAGTAAATTGTGGTATTGAATAAGGACGAGTAAATAATGGAATTGGTTTAAGAAAACGATTTTCTTACTAATATAGTATATTTATTTAGGAGTAGAGAATATATGTTCTTGATCCAAGAAAATATGAAATTCGACCAAGAAATTAATCAAATTGTGTAAGAAATTCAAAATTATATTAATTGAAGAAAATAGTTTTTTGTTTTAAAAATATATATATTATTCAAAGCAATTATTCTACATGATTCATTAAAATTTTTCTAATATTGATTCAAGTAAGTAAAGATTAAAATTAAAATATATTTTTTATATTGCAAGGAGAACATATGTTCTAAATTCAAGAAAATATGGAATTCAAACAAGAAATTAATCAACTTATAAAAAATGTAAAATATCTTAATTGAAGAAAATATTTTTTTCAACTTTTGATTTGTTCAGACATATTAAAAAGAATTACGATCAGTGTTATCAGGTCCCTATATGGATCACTAGATATTTTCCACTAAAAATAAATTTTTTTCCCTAATTTTAACTAGAAAAATAAAAAAAAAAAACAATAAAAATCTTTATCTCAACAGAAAATTTTTAATTGTTCACTATAATTATGCAAAAGTTATTTAAACTTAAAGAATCGTTTAATAAAATTTAATGGTTCAATGTAATAAATATATTATTATGATATTATAGGCATTTTTTGGAATTTCATTTATTTAAATATTAATTTCAGATAAAATTTATAAGCTTAAGAACATGGAATAGACATTAAACTATAAAAAATACAAACAAAACATAACTTTTAAATTCTTTTTCACTTTCCCAAGAGATTTTATATCTTTGTACATATTTTTTTGAATTTAGCGTAGGCGGCATTTTTTACTTTTTCTTTTAGCAGAATACAATGAAAATTGTTTTAAACTTATTATTCTCAAATATATTTAAAAACTGTTCAATTAAGAAAATTTATTTCATGAATAAACTGTACTAAACAGCAGTACAGGGCTCGGCACGTAGAAAAGCATTCTTTCTAATAGAACTGCGTGACTAATTTTGATTGGCGGGATCTGTAAATTCGCTCCATCTCCATCATCAGTATTGCCAATCAAATTCAGTTGAATAGTTTATACCAAGAAGACTAGAACCAGGAGAGCGAACTCACCTTACTTTACTTTCTTTAGTTGTATGTGTATATGTCGAACAGCTGTTTAAGAGTTCATCGCAAGTTGCGTTGTTTTCATCAGTTCACAAATAAACAAATTTGAATTGGCGCGACACTTTTCTTTAAGCTAAGGCGCCAATAACATTCATGTATATTTTTTTATTTTCCTACAAAATAAATTATCATCTAAATTCTCCAAGTAGACAATTTTAGGTTAAAGAGGATGGAGGGTAAACATAACCTCAAAAACCTGTCAAAACTAAAAATTGTTTTTAACGCAAACAAATATATAATAAATATTAATTTCAAACAATTTTAGAAGATCTAGATTTACTCCTTTCGAAAATAATTATTTTTTTCTAAAATATTTTGTCAATAATTATTTTTTTTTAACTACGAATCTTGAATGAAATCATTCTTTTGTTTCCTTGAAAATATTTTTTATTTAATTCAACTCTAATACAGTCTTGAATCAAGAAAATGCGAATATTAATATAAGTAAATACACTTGTTTTAACTTGATTAACGCATAGTTCTCCCAGGTGAAAAAATTAACGTTACTAACGTTACTAATGTTACTAACGTAAGTACCTATAAAAAAATTAAGAGTTTCTAAAATATATTTTCACAGAAACTTTGCCACTACTTTCCCATTACCACTTTCACTTCCACTTAAACTTTTTATAATTTTCATTCCCATTTCTACTTCTACTTTTTCTAATTCTCATTCGTACTTCCATTCTCACTTCTACTCTTTCTAATTCTCATTCCCACTTCACTTCCACTTTTTCTAATTTTCATTCCCATTTCCACTTCCACTTTTTTATATTCATTGCCACTTTCACTTTTTCTAATTTTTATTCCCATTCCTATTTCCACTTCCAGTTTTTTATATTCATTGCAACTACCACTTTTTCTAATTCTCCTTCCCACTTTCACTTCCACTTCCACTTGTTCCAATTTTCATTCCAATTTCATCTTCCACTTTTTTATTTTCATTACAACTTTTTTATATTTTCACTCCCACTTCCATTCCTATTTTTTAAATTTCCATTACCACTTTCATTTTTTCTAATTTCCATCCGTTGTAATTAAAAAAAGTGGAAATGGTTGTGTAAATGGAAACTAGAAAGAGTTTTAGTCGAAATGGCAACAGGTAATGAAAATTAGAAGTGGAAAAAATGGGAGTAGAAGTGTGAATAAAAATTAGAAAAAGTGGAAGTGGTAATGAAAATAAAAAAGTGCAAATGGGAATGAAAATTATTAAAAGTGAAAGTGTAAATGAGAATTAGAAAAAGTGGGAATGGAAGTGTGAATGAGAATTAGAAAAAGTGGAAGTGGTAATGTAAATAAAAAAGTGGATGTGAAAAGGGGAATTAGAAAAAGTGAAAGTGGAAACGGTAATGAAAATAAAAAAGTGGAAGTGATAATAGGAATGAAAATTATAAAAAGTGCGGATAAGAACATTAAATACTTCCTGGTGGTCGATTTTCGACAAGTTTCTGCAAAAATACAAATTAGAAACAGTTTCTTAATTTTTTTATAGGTACTAACGTTAGTAACATTAGTAACGTTAGTAATGTTAATTTTTCTACCTGGGCTTGAATTAAGAATTTAGTATTTGGCAGAAGTAAATATGTTATTATTGCAACCCAATATTTTATTTTCCCAAAGTACTAAAAAGTATTCAATCAAGAATATTAGGTTATTAAGCAAAATAATAAAATATTGTCTGAAGAATTTTCATTTCTTGAATCAAATAGTTTTATTCATTTGTTTTGAATTAATTTTTTATCTAATACAAATCTTAGATGAATTCCATATTTTCTTGGACCAAGAACATGCGTTCTTCTAACAATCTAAATAATATTTTGATTTAAATCTTTACTTACTTGAACCAACATTACAAAGATTTAAATGAATCAAATGCAATAATTGATTTGACTACAGATATTCTTAGAATAAGAAAATATTTTACTCATAGAAGTCGATTAACTTTTTGATCGAATATATTTTCTTGGATCAAGAACAAATATGTTCTTCTTTCAAATATACTGCACCAAGTTAATTTGTTTTCTTGAAACATTATATTAGCATAATTGATTTGACCGTATTCAGTCCCACGATTTTCTTGAACCAAGTAAAATTTTCTTGGATCAATACTATTTTTTTTCAGTGTACGATTCAAACAAAAAGTCTCTCGGTGTTTAAAAATGGAAAAATGAAATTAAAGGAAAGAAAAGAAAATGATCGTTATTAGAAAAAAAAAGTGTTTAAAAATAAGAAGCAAATGATTAATGTCTTTTGAAAATAAAAATATATGCATATAAGTTATAAAATAAATATGAGAGATGGTTCATCGAGAGCAATGCAAGATGTTAAGAAGACGAAGAAGAAGAAGAAGGACCTGTAGGCGAACTATGCTGGGTATCCAGGATGAAGGTTGGGCACCAAGTTAACCAGCCATTCGTGTATTCAGTCTATATCCTGAGAACAATCAGACCTACCAACTAAATGCATACGCGTGGGCAACATCGCAAAAAATACATTCCAAGAAACATTCCCATTATCTATTTTATCACTACCTATATAGTAATCAGATAAAAAATATTAAAAATTAAAATTTCACATGTAATTTAGAATTTTTTATTATAATTTAGACACATAAATTATTTATTATTAGGTATATACATAATAATAAATAATTGTAATCATAATTTGTAATTTAATAGGTAAGTCTAATGATTATGTTAATTATCATAATGGAATTGTAAATTATCTTCAACTTTTTAGAAAATATTGATTAAATAATGAAAATATTATTATTAATATTATTATTAATATATATTGACCAATTGATATATAAAGATTATAAAAACTATTGACAATAGCACCGGCAATTTTTTGTCAGTCATGGTCGTTGGTGCTTATAAATAAAATATAATCAAAATTGCATATAAATGACAAAATTTTGCATATATCTATACATGTAAAAGAAAATAGAGTATTTTAGTTTTTTAGTAGACAAGTTAAATGTCATAGACTCGCACAAGTTTCTTCTTTTTTATAAAATTGTTTTTGTAAAATTTTTTTTAAAGTTTTAAATATTTAAAATAATAAATAAAAATTTTAATTTTTTGTTAAAAACAAATTTTTTTCAGAGAAATTGCTTCGAATTTTTATTTTATTAATATATTAATATATTAACGCCAATATGGTAAACGTATAAATATTAAATTGTATCTATATATTATAAAAATTTTTATTATATATAATGTAAATAATAAAACAATGTAAATATACATTGGACTCTCGATTTTTAAGACGAATTAGAGATAGTTCGTCTAAAAAACAAAATTTCAGTTGTGTATCTACATAATTATTAATAAACATGATTTTCTATTATTTGTTTTATAATTAAAAATACAAAATGAACATTATATAATGTTTTTTATTGTAGTTTAAAAATATTTTCACAAAATTACCCAAAAAATATGTCGTTAAAACAAACGATATAATTAGATATGAACGTTGGTATTCAGATTTGACAAAAGGTAAGATTACTGCGATAATTATGATATTATTATGAATATATTATATAAAACTTTATGATTATCAAGTGAAAAAACAAAAATACAAAATAATTTAAAAAAAAAAAACTTAAAAAAGTAAATGAAATAAATTTTACGAAATTATATTTCAGTAAATAAAGGAAGGAAATATGACTTTGCAGAAAACTACGTTTTAAAAAAGGATGTAAGTTTTTGAATTTTTAATAACTTTTGGCTGTTAGGTCATCTGGAGGTCGATTATTTAATTCCATTTTCACTTCAACTGATTCTAGTTTAACTTTTTAATTTCATTTTCACATCAACTGATTCAGGTTTTCACTCTCATTTTCACTTATTTTTTCACTTGCACTGATTAAAAATAAAGAAAAGTAAAAAATAAGATAACATTTAAATCAGTGGAGACGAAAGTGAAAAAGAAAGTAAAACTGTGAGTAAAAATTAGAATCAGTAGAAATGAAAGTGAATACCTAGATAGCATGTAAGCTTACAGCAACTTTGCGGCAAGCTTTCCGCGTAATATTGCCAACCTTGCACGGCAAACTTGCTGCAAGCTTACTGCAAGCTTCAAATGTCCCACTTGGCCCAAGCTTGCATGGTAACCTTACCGAAAGATTGGTGTGTAAGATTCATGATTGCACAATAAGATTATCGCAAGCTTGCTCAGTAAGCTTGTAGCAAGGTTGGTGTAAGGTTCCCAAAAAACCTTGCTTTAAACCTGAAAATTTTTTTTTTTTATTTTAAATTCAAATAAATTATTTGAAAATTTTATTATTTTATTAAGATTGGAAACATGGGCACTATTTATCTCAATAGACCTGATAAACTTAATTCAATGAATTGGTCAATGGTAATTTTAATGAATAAAATACTTGAAGAATGGGAAACTTGTAAAACACATGTCGTTTGGAAAAGTAATGTTAAAAATGTATTTTCTGTTGGTGGTGATGTAAAAACATTTCATATTATGTCTGGCTTGGATACAGGCTTAAGATATGGAATAGAAGTTACAAAATTTTTTCACAAGTATGTTTTTAGAAAGGAATTTTTTAAATTAAAAAAAAAAAAAAAAATCAAAAATTATTTAATAAAAAAGTAAAATATATTTTTAATAGTTTATTTAAATGAATTTTGTTATTTCAGATTGTGTTATTTTGTTGGAACTTATAAAAAACCTTTTATTTCAATTTTGGATGGTCTCTCTTTCGGTGGAGTTACTGGAATTGCCATAAATAGTAAATTTTCAGTAGCAACAGAAAATACAGTATATGCCACTCCAGAAACATCAATTGGTTCTACTCCAGACGTTGGTAATTTATATAAATTATCAAAATTAAATAACAATCTTGGTTTATATCTTGGCCTCACTGGATGTAAATTGACGGGTAAAAATTTTTCTCAATTATAATTTTAGTTGCTAAAATTGCATTTTTGTTTTTGTGAAAATGTTTAAAAAAAATTTCGATTTTTATTTAAAATTTATAAATTATTTAATAAAATAAATGATTTGTGTTAGAATTTTTTATAATTAAAATTTATTAATAATTATTATAAAATTGTTGTTACAATATGTTCCATTAAGGCAGTGACGTTTTCTTGACTGGCATGACAACCCATTTTATTCCTTCTAGTCGAATAAATTTATTAACGAAAGAATTAACAGAATCCAATGGCTCAGATATTAGTCAGATATTAAAACAGCACCACATGAAAAATTTGCCTAATCAATCTAGTTTTGAGCCTTACATGGAAAAAATCAATCACTGCTTTTCTGCTCGGACAGTTGAAGAAATAATTGATAGGTATCGTATATATTTTATTAAAAAAAAAACTATCAATAAGTAGATAATCAAATACTGCATGAATAATTTTGCATCATTTTTTTTTCTCTTAAATAAATGATCAGATTGAATGATGATAATTCAGATTGGAGTAAAAGAACAGTGAAAATTCTAACGAGAAATTCGCCAACAGCTTTAAAAATGACTAAAAGAGCATTTGATCTTGCCATCGATAAAGAATTTAAAGATTGTTTAAAAATGGAATTTAATTTATTATATGCTTCCTTATGTACTGACTTTAGTGAAGGTATAAATATTTCTTTTATAAATAATTTTAGCATCATTTTTGTTTACGTTAAATTAAAAATCAAACTAATTTTTAATTAAAAATTTAATACATATATATATAATTAAATTTTAGTTTAATTATTCTTATATAGGTATTCGCGCACAATTAATCGACAAAGATAACGAACCTAAATGGCAGCCAAAAACTCTTAATGGTGTTACTGACGAATACATTAATCAATTATTTTCCATTGTTCCATACTATGATCAACTTGAATTGTGACTTTTTAAAAGCGAATGAAAGTATAAAATTAATCAGCATACACATTTATTTTCAATTTATTTTTTTGAAATCAACAAATTTTTCATTAAAGATAAAAATAATAATAATAATAATAATAAACTTTAACAATTGATCATCAAGAATTAACGCGAGTTCTTTGACATTAATTAAACTACCTATGCAAAAATTGGCCTACTTTAAAATATGTTATTGGCAAGGGCCTTGTCAGTTTTCCTAATTTGAAAAAAATAAACATTTTTACACGAGAAAAATAACTTCATAATTCAAGGTCAAATTTTAAAGGATATATCGACGCCTCCCGTTATTAAGATACCCGTTCATTTGTCAGGATAATAAAATGCAAACTCGAGCTCAGTTCAATATGAAGCTCAATTATCAAAATAATAAAAGGCTAACTCAGTTTCCGTATAATATAATCCTATCTCGTATTAAATTCGAATTCAAGTTTTCGTAAATTAAAAAAGAAGTTTAAGTCGATCAGAATATTAATTCATACTTTTTAATGATTAATTAGTGATTAATAATTATTAATAAAATAAGAAATAGAATAAAAAACGAATAATAAAATAAATGAAAATAAAAAATATTATTAAAAAAGAAAAAAATTAATTTAGCCTTGAATTATTTATTACTAATATTATTTTTTTTATTATAATTTTCTTATTTTGTTAATCATTAATTAATCATTAACATTATATAATAATATTGTATAATGTTATATTGAGTTTAGTTTGAATTCAAGTTTTCTTAAAATAAAATTTTTTTAACTCGATCGGAATATTATTTAATATTTTGTAATGATTAATTATTGATAAACAAAATAAAAAAATTAATAAAGAAAATTATAATAAAAAAAAAAAAATATTAGTAGGGGAATAGTGTCAGGGTTGGACACTTAGCTTTTTTTAAATAAGAACACTAGCGCCACCTGTGTGCGTACGTGACGAATCTTCTAGTAGTGTAACCTAACTTTTTGTGGCATTACATTTTTGGAGAATCAAAAGTAGCGTCTCCTGTGACTTCGGTGCAATCGAAGAGACAAAAAAAGTTTTGTTTGACTTGTGAATAAACCTAAAAAATGTGTAAAAAAAGCAAGAATTCGGCAAGGTAAGCTTATTGAATGTATTGTAGGGTACATAATTTAAGAAGAAAAAAAGTGAAAAATCGAATCGCGACACATGTCTGGTTACGGTTAGTACAATTCGAAAATGATGCTTCTAGTTAGGGTTGGACACTTTATACAGTTAGGGTTGGACACCCATATTAATTATGAATTTGACACAATTTATAAATAAATATACAAATAAATTTTATTGATATTTCAGTGCAAAATTGTGCCAAAAATATTAAAAAAATAATACTTAAATACAAGATTACAATTTGTAAACAATAAGTAAAGATAAACATGAAAAAATAAGAATAAAAAACATTACAAATGTTATTTTACGTTTTTACCAATAATGCGTTTCGATTTTCAAAAAGTGTCCAACCCCGACTGAAAAGTCCAACCCTGGCTAGATTTTTTTTTAAATGTTTATAACTTTTTTAATTTTGGACCAATCAATTTACGTTCCACAGCAAAAGTGTTTCTCTTTTGTGGATCTTTCCACCCATATACCACAATTGACTGAATTTATCTAAACAAAATATTTATAAACAAAAAACCAAAACTGTGTCCAACCCTGACACTATTCCCCTAATAAATAATTCAAGGCTAAATTAATTTCTTTCTTTTTTAATAATATTTTTTATTTTGATTTATTTTATTATTCGTTTTTTATTCTATTTCTTATTTTATTAATAATTATTAATCACTAATTAATCATTAAAAAGTATGAATTAATATTCTGATCGACCTAAACTTCTTTTTTAATTTACGAAAACTTGAATTCGAATTTAATGCGAGATAGGATTATATTATACAGAAACTGAGTTAGCCTTTTATTATTTTGACAATTGAGCTTCATATTGAACTGAGCTCGAGTTGGCATTTTATTATTCTGACAAATGAACGGGTATCTTATCAACGGGAGGCGTCGATATGTCAAGAGAGCGCTGGGTTTGAGGTTAAAATCGGCTAACATAACCTCGAAATTAGATCAAGACGACGTTGGCTTTGAGGTTAGAATCGGCTAACATAACCTCAAAATTAGGTCAATTTTTTAAGAGGTTAAAATCAGAGCCAAAATATTAATAAACCTAAAAACTTAGATTCTTAAAACAGCAGGCCCTTAGCGTCTTTTTACAGTGTATATAGGTATAAAAAATAATTATACTCTGATCAGGAAATTGAAAATATTAGAAAATATAAAAATGTAGAAAAATAAAAATAGAAAATAAAATGTTCAAGTAGCAAAGAAATTAGTGTAACTAGTAAAAAAGAAAAGAAATTAAGCAAATATAGTGAAAAAAGAAATTTAAAAATACAAGATGTCGTTGAGAATAATGAGCTAGTTTTGTGGTCTAGTACATCAAGTATATAAGAAATTTAGTTTGAAACTATATATAGTGGTCGAGGGAAAATTTACTCCAAACTGTCGTCGTTGTCGTCGTCATGAGAAAACAGGAGATATTTACCAAAACCCACAGTTTAAATTAGAAGCGTACAAACTACAAATTGAGAAGGCAAATTGCATCGTGGTATACTTGCTACTCGCTCATCGGCTCATTTTCCACTATAGTCTTCACCATCCGGAAACATTTCGACTTTTTTTCCCTTCTTTTCTTTCTATTACATTTTTCTCAGTTTCTAAATCATCAACTTTTTTCTCATTCTCACAGAAAAAACCTGATCTCAAATTGAGTACAAAATTTATACTCGATTTGATACGCATCAAAAATGAAACTGGTTGTCTCATTTCGAGTTCTAAGGTAAAAGTATCAAAATGAAACAGGTAAGTTTCATTTTGAGAAGAAGAAAAATGGAAAAATATTGTGAAATAAAGAATAATTTTGCACAAATACATGAAATATAATAATTACAAAGAAGTAAATAACACGCTAGACTTAATATATTTGATTAAAAATTGGTTGTAATCGCGTAATACAATAATAAAGGAAATATGTTTTTAGGATAGAAAAATGAAAACATGTGTTTTGACAATAGGAACGGTACTACCAACTTAAATAATAGCGGTAAATTTAAAAACTTATGAAATTAATTATTATCTACGTAAATAATAATAAATAATTTTTATTTAAAAACTTCTAAATATTCGTACTGGTCAAAATAATCTTTCTGGTGTTGTTGAAATATTAGAAAAATTAATTGAAATACAAAATTACTCTGCTTATGATGCCAACTTAGAAATCTGAAATTCCAGCCAGTATCATTTTGAATAACATAAAGTTTGTCCCATACTCATTTCGATACCCAAAAGAAAATGAGTTGCAACAAAAATGAATCCAAGTTTTTTCTGTGCTGATATTTATTTTTCTATATTGTATTTCGTTTTTTTTTTTTTTTTTTTTGTAAAATATATTATCATAATTTTATTCTCACTGAATAACACGCGTTTTAATGAAAAAGGCTTCACCATGACACACAACTAATAATGATTTTTTAAACAATTTATCAACAATTTTCAATCTCGTATTCATGGCATTTATATTTGCTAAATAAATACCCACTACACCTTTATTTAATAGAAATCATTAATAATTATTGAATTTATTGTAAAATATGTAAAGTCTTCACCATGACAATGTTAAATAGGCGCTTTAAAAGTATAAAAACAAAAAAATTAATTATGAAACGAAATTCTACCTTAATGAATCTACTTGGGGAAGGTAATTTTTGCTTTTACTAAGTATAAAGTGTAACTAAGTTTTGTTTTGATTTCTAAGAAATAATTCAGTTTTATAAATAAGGCTTCACCATGACGCACAAAACTGGGGACAAGAATTAATATCGAAAAAATGATTAAAAAAAAAACAATTTTCAACCGGCATTGCAATAGTATTTAATTTTACATTATGACGATTTGTCTTTTTAATTTGCATTTAAAAAAGAAATTATATTATTATGTTATTATGGACGCCATAATCAAAACAATTTTATTTTCAATCAGTGGTGAACAAAAAAATTGTTGCTTCGACTTGTGTAACTATAAGTAATCGTAGTTTCAGTTATAGAGTTAAATGAAAACTGAGAGGACATCTTTTACAAATTAATAATTTTTTATGAAACCTAGTACCTATCTTGGGGTTTTTGGGATCGCTGATTGCAAATCTGATGTCAGATTTTCAATATTCAAAATGGCGTATTCAATATGGCGGTCGAAAATTATTAAAATTCATCGAATTCACTTGAAACTTGTTCCTTGGGGATTTTTGAGGTCGCAGATTATGAATCTAATGTCGGATTTTTAAAACCCTCTATTTTTGTCTTTTGAATTTCTGACATCATATTCGTAATTAGCTAACTTAAAAATCCCCAGGTTACAAATTTCAAGTGAATTCGATGGATTTTTATAAATTTAGACGAAAACTATTTTTTTTTCCGCCATATTGGATCCGCCATTTTGAATATTAAAAATCTGACATCATATTCGTAATCAACGACCTCGAAACCCCAAGATACCAGATTTCATAACAAATTATTAATATGTAAAAAATATCCTCTCACCTTTCATTTGAAGGTTGTTTTCACCTCTAAAAACAAAAAATGACCTGATCTAGCGAAATGACTGGACACACTTTTTTTTGGTCCTAATTTCTGAAAATCTTTGATTTTTTCGTTTTTTAAAAAAAGGTGACTTTTGTCACACGACGTTATATCAAATCTTCCCGTCTTCAATAGTTTTTAATTTAATTTTCATGTTCAAGAAATGGAGAAAGTTTAAAAACTTTGCACGTGATTCGTATATAGAGAATTTATAATATTTTGATGTTTTTACTTTGGGATATATAATGTTTTATAACTTTGACATGGGTCTTTTAAAATATAAGTATCAATCTCGATTATTAATTAGACGATAGTTAATAAAAAAAAAGAAGAAGAAGAAGAAATACGATGCTCGATTTGGAGCTAATGATGGTAAAACTTTCTAATGGTAGATCAGTTGATTACCGAAACCTGTCTCTTTTTCGTCACCGATGCGCCGCTTGATTATCGATGATACTCGCCGATCTTTTAATGGAGGAGTGCCAATCCTTTTTCGGAATAAGAGCCACGTGTCATTTTCTCTATAAAAAGAAACGGAGCACTCACACATGCCAAATGGACGACTTATATATATTTCTTAATGAGGATAAAATATTTTGGGTCAAACTCATTTTTCATGTTGTATAATATATAACGTTTTTTGATTATTTTTTCCCCCTGGCAAAATAGCCATATATATATATACACGGAAAGAAAAGATGTTGTGTTTGCAACAAATTCGATTGGTTTAGCAATTTTGGTTCTTGTAACCAAATTTTGGTTGGTTGAAAGAAAATCGTAGGGTTATCTTAAAATTTGGTTGAGCTAACCAAACATTTTTGTTATGTCAACAAAAAACACTCAACCGAATGTTTTTAATTAACTTTTAAACAAGTAGGTTGGTTTTTAAATATGAATAAAATTTTTTTGTTGGCCTAATCAAATTTTGTTTGCATTGACTAAACATTTTGTCAGTGTATATAAGAAGAATAATTCTATATAATTGGGATAAAATTTTTAATAATTAATTCTTAAAATTTCATATTTATTAAATTTTTTTCTCTAATTACAAAATGGAATTCATATTTTTTTCGCTGATCGCACGTGTTGTATGAACGAAAAATTGGTTTTGAGATCTGGGACGGATTTCATCAAGATTTTGATTATAGTAACATTTTTTTTTCTTTTTTTTTGTCGAAATGAAGGTAATTGCCTAAGAAGGTCAACGAGCCAAGCGCAATTTAAATTGTCCGTTAAAAGACTGTCGCATTCTAGTACAATTTAACCGATTGCGAGGAGACGAAATAATTATGCCACAGTATATGTCGAATAAGGTAAAAGGAAACAAACAACAGTTTAGAAAAAAGAAAAAGTTTTATAAATGGGAAATGGAGTTGAGAGAACTAATATGGCAATTTGTCGTTGAAATAGATCCCAAACGTATATATATATATATATATATTTGAACTGTGCGAAAATGTTTCTTAATATGGTGCAACTAGTTGTATATATGTTGCAATTGTAATTAGTGACACGACAATTTCCTAGTGATTTCGAGAATTGCACACATTTGATGATATATATATATATATATACGATACGAATTAGTGTAGATATACGCCACCTGTAAAAGAGATCGGAACGCTCTATTCCCGAAGAGGTGCATTTAGCGCGCTGAGTTAACCACAAAATTAAGTCATAAATTAAAGAAAGGCACGGAGAGTTAATGGCGTTTTCACTCTCGCGCAGCTTTAACTTCACACGTAGGTGTATAATACACCCAGCTTATAGTGCACTTTGCTTATATTGGAAACTAGTTTATTGTTTAGATGAGAATTTTCAACATTAAATGAGTACCATTAAATATATTATTTGCAACAAATTAGATATCACTGGAAAAAAAAGATTTTGCGTTTGCAACAAAATCGTTTGGTTCGGTTAATTTTGATTCTTAGAACCAAATTTTGGTTGGCTGAAACAAAGTCATAGTTATCTCAACCAAACCTAACCTCAAAATTCAAAGTCCTAGGTCTCCCGGATTCAAGGTTATAGATCGAACATAACCTCAAAATTCTAGGACATAGATTTCCAGGATTCAAGGCCTTAGTTCAAATATAAACTCAAAATTCAATGTCATAGGTGAAACATAATTTTAAAATTAAAGGACGTAGGTCAAGGGACTGTTGGGTTTTGAGGCTATGTCCGACAAACATTCAAATTTCCCTAACTTAAGAAACGAACATAACCTCAAAATTTAGATAAAATTTTAATAATTTTAATACTTGCAAGTCTTTAAAAAATTAATAATTAAAGTGAAAAATATTGACGCAATATATATACCCAGATAACAAAATGTCAGCCAGATCGCTGCTCATATGTCAGCACGTGGGCTGATTGATCGGACCAACGTGGTGACAATTGAGCAGCGTAATGTACGCGCCATTGCTTGCTATATAGCTAGACCGTCGTCTGGCGCACGATGGGCGGCCCATCGTCCGTACAATGTATTGGTAACTTAAATTATTAAAATTTAATTTTTTTATTGTTTAGTGTAAATCGGAGTAAAGTCGCTTGTACGGACACAAATTTTTTGAAAAAAATATTTTTTTGGACTTTTTAATTATTACGACTTGTTATATTCTATTTTTTACAACAAAGAGAACATTATAGAAACATTGTTTACTGCAATATATTTATGAAAATAGTTATAATAATTTGTAAACATGGAAATATTGTAAAAATTTCTTTTCCTCCAAATAGCGCCTTTACTCCAATTCAGTCAAATAATTAAATCGCATCAATTCTGTAAAAGAAAATTTATTTTTATATTTCGTGTCTGGATAATTTCATTGAAGCAGAATTACAAAAGTCAACGCTGGGTATAACTAAAAACGGACAAAATTTTAAACTTTTTATACATTAGATGAGAACAATAAAATAAAATATTTCCTGTTAAATTAAACTTGTTTACACAATTACAAAGCAACACGAATAAACTTGAAACTATAGCCATTATTTTCTAGCCGCCAGTTCAATTATTTTTATAAAACTTGTTTAAATAATTTTATTTTCTATTAATATATAAAAAAATTAAATAATTATTAAACTGGCTGTTCGAAAGTAACTGCTGGCTTGCGTCTCACAAAATACAGTTCATAAATGAAACGAGACAAATGTTTTACACTTTACTCATTAGATAAAAACAATAGAATAAAATTTTTCCCTTTGAAGGTAATAATAAAAAATGAAACAAAAAATAATTACTATAAGCAAGTAATAAAAACCCGGTTAAAAGGATATTGTCATTTAATCTCCCTCATCATCGGCATCTTCATCTAAACCAACTTCGTCATCGAAAACCTCACGTTCATCTACACCGCTCTCTTCTCCATTATCACCATCATTTTGGTAATCGTGTAGTAAACTTTCAATTTCTGATATTTTTTCTTGCAAGGTACCCGTTGAATTTGATTTTTTTCCTTTCTTAAATTTATTCCTAAACCTCTGTTTTGTGCTTTTTAATACATCCTGCATATTCATTTTAAAAGTTTCCTTATTTTCTGGACCAGCAAACAAATGGCAACTACGGGCAGCGTCTGTAAAATAAAGGGTTTTTTTTTATGTAGTTTAAAAATTACGTGGACATTAATATTGTAATGAAATGAGCAAAAAGAAAATAATTTACATATAAATACTAACTATAAAAAGCATTAAATAGTTTGGTATTTCCAATTCCATATGTGTCTTGCGTTTGGTTCCACGTAAACTTCGAAACAAGTTCATCAGTCATTATTTGCTTTAATCCGCAACTTAAAAATTCTTTTAATTTAGAGCCTCCCAAGCTCAACAAATGATTTTCCTATAAGTATAAAGAAATTAGTATTAACAAATTTGTCTTACAAATTTTTTTTAATAATTCAAACTAATTTTTAATTTGTTATCATTGCTGTCTTGAAGAAGATTACAATATTAATAAAAAAAATTCTGATTTTTTGACCCATTTTAAATTTAAAAGTATTTTTCAAAATTTCCGCATCAACGGACATCTACGTTGCTTTGCATAAAAGCTTATTTAAATGAAGCTATTTAATCAGACTTGTAAATTATTTATTGATAAAATAATATTATTTATTTAAATTGCACCAGTAAAAAATCTCAATAGAAAAATATTTTTAAAAAATAATGTAAATTGAACGTTATTATGAACCCAACAATTTTAGTTCATATTTTATTTCTTTTAAGAAAATCAAATTCATTACTGTATAGCAAAAACATAAGTAAAGAATAATACACAATTAGTTATATTTTTTGTTTTTTTACTAATTTAAAAAATTTAGAAAAAAACTTACTATCTTTTTTAATTGAACATCATTTTTCTCTAACTCAAAAAATTCATCAGTTGTGGTTATTGGGAATCCTGTTAGTGGTTCATACAATCTTTGAGAATGTTGATTCCTACCAAAATGCGATTGATGCAATTCTAAAATTTGAGTATTCTGTTTCTCAATGATTTCCAATCGATTTTCGATTCTTCTGCAAATACAAATATTTTAGAAATGGAATAATGTTTACAAGCGAAAAACTTTATGGACTTGAAAATGTCACTTTTAATTATTTTTAATAAGCGAACTGTTAGTGTTAAATATTAATTAGCAAAACCTATCCCTTCTTTAGTTCTGAGTTAAAAAATCATAATAGAAAATGGAGAAAATAGAGTTTACTCACGTTAACTGCTCAGAAACAGTAATCTGGAAATTAAAATCATTTAACATTCCTGGAGAGAATTGTAAAACCGGAACATCCTGCACATCGACAGTTTCAAGCATATCCGACTGAAGGTTTGAAAACTGCTTCTCGCGACCGAATTCATCATTATCCGTTTCTTTTGATATCGTAAGAGCGTGTGTTTTTGACCTAAATTAAATAAAATAATTAAAATAAATAACCACCCTTTTTACTATGATTATAAAATATGTTTAATTGTAAAATTGGAAAAATTATTAGATTTTCCTGTTATTTTTTAAATTAAAAATTTTTTTTTAATATTAAATAAATTAATTATTTCTCACGACTATATCTAGAATTCATTCTGACAATATGAAATAAATTATATGACTCTGGAATATTTGACTATTGAAATTTAAATGGTTTTTAAGGTTTCCAGGTTGTGTAAGAAAAGTAAACTTATATTATGAATAACTAAATTTAAACTTACAATTCGTTAGCAGTTTTCTTTTTATTAACAGACAAAGGTGATGGTTGCGATGATGATAAAGCTACGTCATTTAATTTATTATTGTTGTTTCCATCGGATTTCGGTTCGAGAGAATGCGGCTTCATCGGAGTAGCGGAGTCAATTGAAGTATTTTGCTCATTAGCAAACGAAGTCGAAGGCTTAGGTGATAGGGAATCTTCAGGTTTCGATTTTCTTTTATTGTTTGGATTCGACTTTGGATTTTGAGAAACTGGTTTTAACTGAATAGAGGAATTTGTTACCGATTTCCTGAAAAATATATTACTAAATTTTAGTAAGATCTTATAATAAAGTATGGAAAATTGACATTGCCTAAAAGTTTAACTTAGTTGATACTTTAATTAAATAATTAACTTTTTATATAAATGTAATAATTTTTATTTGTAAATGTTATATGATATAATCCATATTTTCTTACTTGATTACAACTGCTTCAGGTTTCTTTGATGCTACATTATTCTTCATTGTTTCCGCCAACTTTTTTAAATCTTCCAATTTTTTATGAATTGAACAATTGCTTTTCTTTTTTTTCGTAGGCCTTTCATCTTCAGACTCAGTAGTAAGAATATTTTTGGGAGTTATGATCTTTCTTCCAGTGCTCGATACCCTTGAAACATCCTTCTTGAACATGTTTCTTTCATTAGACTTTTCCATGATCTATTGATTAGTTCGAAAAAAAACAAAGTTAGTGGTCTCAAAGAAATAGAAAATAATAATTATAAAGCATTAAAGTTGACATGAAATTATATTACAAATCACAAATTACTAAATGAAAAAAAACACCTTTAAAATAATAAAAATTAAATTTAACTGAAAATAAGAAGTACATGCACTTTAAGGAAGTTCTCTCGCAAACAGAAATGACGAAGAGTTAATTATCAAACTTGATAAACTGATAGATAATGGTTTAAAGAAGATGTAGTTAAATTTTTAGATGTCTAGGTGGATTTTGACAAAAGATATAAATAATTTTCTCTTTTCACATTTAACACGGGTTCTTATGGGAAATTGAATTTTTTGGTCTGAAATCTCAAATTGTGAAAAATCTGACGAAAAGATATTACTGGAACTTTATATACATAAAGTTTAATAGCCAATGTTCACTTACTTTTAATAAAATTGATCAGACCTGGCTTAGGAGACTCACAATTAATTATTTTGTCTAAAAAAACACCGTAATTTGACAATCAGAAATTACTTAGCACAACGCTTGGCAACGTTGCGTCTTGTAGGTTAGGTATAGAAAAAGCGCGAAATTTGAAAGTAATATAAGTAGTATATACATATAATAGTATATTCTTCAAAGATTCATAATAATGAATAATAATTTGAATTTGCTTATAAAAAATTAAGATTTTTAAAATAATAAATTATTATTATTATTATTATTTAACGAAAATAAATCAAACAATAGCAGACGACACGAAACGGAACGGGGGAAATATAATCCAACGTTGCCAAGCGTTGAGTGATACAAATGAAAACTTAAATGGGCATTGATTTGACTGACGTTTGAGGGAGAGAACTTCCTTAAGATAAAACTTTTGAATACCAGAGTATAAGACTAACCTGAAGCCCACAACTTTTTTGAACCACAATTTAAGAGAAAAATATTTTTTTATTAAAATTTTCTTTAAATTTGATTGAAAAAAGTTTTTACAACTTTTATCGACAATTTTAAAGAGAAAAATTTGTGGACAATAGAAAATATTTTTCTTTCGACTTCAAAATATATTCAGTTTTTTGAACGTTGATGATAAACGTTGTGAACTTCAACTTCGTAGTAAAAGAAAAAAGTAAAGTAATAGTTACTGCCCCTTTTCATATAGTCATTAAAAAATAATGTTTAAAAGTTACAAAATTTTGTAAAATAAAAACCCCCTTTTTCAATATTTTGCGATAATTTAGAAAAAGCAATTTTTTGTTTAATATACAACTAAATTTAAGCAAATAAATTTAACGGAACCATAAAACTTGATTGTCCATACAACATATTTAACAAAAAAAAAATATTTTTTTTGTACACATTTTATTTTGTTTTTATTTTGTCTATAATATATATTCTTTAGAATTGAGTAAAAAGCCCAAAACTCGACCCGTTGATTTAGAGATTTTCCATTTTCATGTTCATTTTAATGTGTATTTAAAAAAGTATTTTCTGTTAAAGGGACAAGATATCAAACTGCAACTTTGATAAAATAAAAAAGAAAACTTCTTTTCTATTGAAAAATTAAAGACATATGAAAAAGCTTATCTTTAATAAAAATTATAGTAAAAAATTTCAATTTAAATAGTTGCTGAAGTATCTATTATCTGAAAGTTATGTGGCAATAATCTTATATTCTATTGAGCATGCAATTACAGAAAACATTTAAACACCAAATAGAAAATGATAAATGCAATTTTAGAGAAGGGATGCGATAAAAAAGTAAACACACGTGAAAATGAAAATGTTTCCCAATTTAATGAATATAGGACTTCAGAGTCTTTCTTTTTGTTCATTACAAAAATAAGTTGAAGTAATATTTTTGTAGACTTTGCCTTAGTGAATATGAATATTGCTTTAAAAAGATTTCATCACAATTTAAGTTTTTATTCTAAAATCATTTAGAAACCTAGAAAACTTTTTTGGCAAAATTCATGCTCTGTGCGTTATGATTTATGAAATATGAAGACATGCGGATGCCAAACAGACCATTTATCATGAGGCAAAAATGTAATAATTTTCATTTTTAAAGGAACTTACAAGATAATACATGCCACAAAATATATTATGCTTCCTATATGGAACAATGAGTCACAGCAGCATCTCTTTTTCGCTAATTAGTGTAGAACAAATCCATTCGTTTTGTAGTGGCAGCTCCTCTTCTCCCACTTTATGGCTCCAATGTGGCATTTTATAGCACTTTTTCTGCACATCGTTCAAAGAAATAGCTTGAACCGTATTGGACAAATTTTTACAGAGGTACACTCCAACATCTTCGGAATTTATAGGAACGTCGTATAATGTTTCTTTTAGGAGAAATTCTTGAAACATTAAGAAAACTTCATTACCAACCAGTAAGATGTTTCTAATTATTCCAATTCTTTTATCATTAAGAATGCAGCATCCATTTCGTACATCATTGCATAAGGTTAGTTTTCCACGTTCTACCTTTTTAAACTGTCTACAATGATTTTCATCAAATTCTTCAGAAACAGGACCCTCCTGATGTTCTAAAGATGGACGCACGTTCATATTAATTTCTAAAGGCTTGAAAGAGAATTCGTTCAGTTCTTTTATTCTTTTATAATACTGTTGAAGTGCCAAGCCTGGTTTACGAATTAATTTTCGAAATTCCGGCATGCTATTTTCATAACTAAATGCACTGTAAGAATCTAAACTACCAAGTTCGAGAACATCATCTATTATGTGTAGTAAACAATGCACGTTATAGGAATAGAATTGAAGCCCATATATATTCTCACATAAAGATACATACTCTTTCAAAGCTTCCTTACAAAAAAGTAGCATTTCTCGAGGTGTATCTTTGGCTACTACATAACGCACAACAATGTGCAGTAATAGGAAATGTTCATATTAGTCGTCTTCCAAAACATTCTTGAATACTGCTGGTGCCGTGTAAAGAGCAAATTGACGAAATTCTGTAGCTTTAAAAGAATGAAAAGCAGTTAATTTATTCGGTCGTCGATTGAAATCAGAGGGACAAAAAACTTTTAACTGTTCCATTCTAGAATCCAAAATTTCTTGCTTTCTACCACTCATTTTTCTTGGATTATACTTTCCACCTATTAATCCTGTTAATGCTTTTTTTACATTTCCACTCCAAACCGAATGTAGTCCTTCAAACGGTACTTTTGTTACTAAACCCAATAAATCTGATAACGGAGTACTTCCAAAATGGTGATCTTCATCTATCATGTTTCGGTATTCTTCGTCTGTTCTCAACTCATGTTCCGTTCCTACGAAGATCATTCTCCCCATATAGTGGTAGCCTTCAACTTTACATTTTGAACATGCCATACGAGAATTGTGGCCACAATGATTTAGTGACATCGCCCTAGCAGGAGCGTCTGCTATGTAACAATAAACGACGAGAAAAATTCTTCTGTCTCCAACAATAAGTCCAATATCACGAACTTCAATTGCTTCTGCAACAAACTGTCCAAAAAAGTCGAACACATTTTGTGGTTTTTTTTCACCAAGGTAAACTCCAGCTATTATTGGTCTCTTATCATCAATATTTAAAATTCTGTATTGAATTGGCCAAAAATTCTTCGAACCCTTATTTAATTTAGCGCCATCAGTGCTAAAGTCAATCACAATTCTCTCGGGTATCAAGTTAAGAGGAATTTTCGTCAGTTTCTTTACAAGTGTTTCTTTAAAGCCTATATGTAAATATTCTCCGCCTGCGATTTGTTGAATGAAAGCACTAGCAACATTAGTGGGTGTCCGCAGAATGGTTCGGGCATCTTTAGGAAGGAAATTTAAATTAAACGGAAATTCGCGTAAAGTTTTAAGCATAATATTGCATTGAGTGTGTTTCAGATTCGCAGCTAAAAAAGCATTCTTAAGTGATGTTTTTCTCGCATCATCTGCATTTATAAGATGAATTATGTTCTCTCTATCCTGATCTAAGTTTTCTTCTCTATTAACATTTTCTTCAAGGTTAAGTGGATGGTCAACCAACGCCTCTTCTTCTTCGTTTACTTCTTCTTCTTCGGTTACCTCTTCATCGAAAACTTCTTCCTCGTCATCATAATTTAACATATCTGAATCATCACTATCAGATGATGCGTCATGTCTAATTTCATTTTGAAACTCATTTAATGAAAGCGATTGGCTTCCATCACGTTGATTCTGGATAATATCTTCTGTAGATGAATCAGAATCATCCACATTTTGCGAAGAGCTTCCAGCTTCTAATATGTCATTTCGAACAGTCTGTAAACGACGCCTTTTTTGGCTTGGAGTAAGATCGAGAAACGGTTTATACTTTCTTTTGTCCATAATAAATTTTTTTCTTTTTCGTCCGTTTGTTAAACAACAATTATCTACAGTAAGAAAAAATTAATTGAAAATAAAATAAAAATAATTGTGAATTTCAGTATAAATTAAATCCAATAACATTTATTTAAAGGGAATGTCATTACTTAACAATGTAATTAAATTTTTGAAATTAATATGCAAAAACAAACTGTACACGGGAGGGCTTTGTTCGAGAACCATTCTTAAATTTGTTCAAGAACTTAGGATACGGGAAAAATTTTAGAAAGATTAGAGAAATTTTCTGGAATATTCAAGCTTTTACCCTAATAGCACCGAACGTTCCTTCACCGTTGCAGGAACGGTCCATTGGTCCCGTCGGTATATCTTGCATAATACAATATTCTATACTAATTTCAAATGTTTTTTTTACAAAATAAATTTTCAATAATCTTGCAGCACCCAGATAGCACGTTATTTCGCGGCGAGTTCGCAACGCGAAGTTCGGTAACTCGCATTGCGAACTCCCTGCGAAGTAATGGTGAATATGAAAATGTCGTCCTACTGGCGAGTTCGCAAGCGAACTCGCTGAGAAGTTACAATGCGACCTAACTGAAAAGTATAAATGCGAACTAACTAAAAAGTATATATGCGAACTTGCTAAGAA